ATTGCTACGCATATCGTACCATCGCCAGTGACAGATGAGCAAAGCGCACTAATTAAACAACAGATAGCAAAAACATACAAAGGCAATATTCTAATTAGCAATGATTATGATTATTTTTTGTTATGAGCAGCTAAACCTATTTTATCTGACTTTTTTGAACGTCATAGTAGACGTTCTGGTCAATGAAAGTAAATTTTATCGTAAGACATCTCTCTCTCTGTCTCTTTCTGTGAGACATGCATATTGACACGTACGCTCATTCTGATCATGCTTATTCTTTCAGATTGTATCTTATAGTTTTCTTCAATTATATATCATTAAAATAACATTGTCAGTGTGTTGAAATGTACTAAAGAAATCAAGTTAGGTGAATATTGAAAGTACAGAACCCAACAACTCTATATTGCGAAAGGTATAAGAAATCTTTTTATCATTTTTGAGCCCTAAAATCTAAGTCTCTGTTTCTAGGTCATATACTCCGATCAGTTGTAGCGATGAAAACAAAAAATTACAGATTAAATCTATCGGGAAATATAGTATGGCTATGCACCAGATATTAAAACGATCTCTTTTATCCCTCATTTTTATTGTCCTCCTTTTGTGTTAACTGATGAATGATACCTCTGATCGAACGGTACTGGACGAGCCTGACGATTACTCTGACACAAATGTTAAAAATAAAAACTCGACTCTACAAAAACATAGTAATGATACATCTCGCACTATTGATTGAGACAAATTGAGTATCCGTTATTTGTCAAAGGGTCTCTCTTAATAGCATGATTCAGTTGTGATTTGAATCGTACGGTTATATATGTACCGTTCATCATTTTTCCAGACTATTTTCCTAATAGAAAAAAGAAGAATATTGATCTAGGCGGTTAACTAATGAATTGTGGCAGTTCTAGGTGTGGCAAACATTTTCAGTAGCAAGAGTTTCACTCCAGCGTGCTTACTTTTTCAAAAATATTCGGCAAGAGCTTTCGAAAAATAATCTTTACTTCTTTAGCAAACTAACAGGAAAAAAGAAGTTTAAACCATATAACTCCAGGGATTACATCCTTATTTAAGACCGACATACGAGAGAGGATCGAGAGTCGGATTGTACAACGTATTTGAAAGAACATTCATTTTTCGTGCATGAACACTTGAATCGCCGCTATTATCGCGTTTGAAATGTGTCGTTGCTAATCGATATTAGTATCACACGCAAATAGCGTAGAAGCCCTATTTTCGCAAAAACTTGGTCTAGATATTTCACTATTCCTCAGAAACAGGCATCTACTTTAGGAAAAACATCGCCACAATAACTGATTTTTTTTATCCTGAAATTCGTTTTTCTTACGTTAACATTAAAAACAAATGTTGCCACGGGATTGAACGCGGTCGATTACCTATGTTTTCATTCGTTTTCCGAATTGCCACACTAAAGAACTAGCGTTCCTGGGAACCTCAGGAAATCCGATGTCCGCCTGAACCAGGAAAAATTAAGAGCGCACTTAGTTCTCGTTTTGAGAGGACACTTTGGACTACCTATCTATAGAATAAAACAGATAGACTACTATCTCAGTTTCCAAAGATCCCAATTTGTTTTCCAAAGATCCGTCTGGAAAACCCATGAAGATTCAATGAAAATTGTTTTTCTGCCATAGTTCGATGTGCCTCTGGCTTGACTACAAGTCAGTGAAAACCGTTTCTCGATATCACTTCGCATTGCCGAATTATTCGAAGAGGCGCTATCTTTTTTTGAATGTGATAACAGTGCTGTATGAGAAAACTAAAACAGTGAACGCCACTCAGATTGAGCTAAAGCTCCACGTTTAAGGGTTTTTGATAGCACTCTTTCCGATGTTATTGTCGAATAATTGTAGCTCTATCGCTTGTATGGTTCCAAGAAAACTCTGGTTCTGGTCGTATAAAAGAAAATATTGTCTGATTACATTGGAACAGATGAAATAAAATTCCATAGAATTTATCGATTATGCTGTCAACTTCTCTACGTATCTATTCATGTTTTAGGATTGTATAAGTGAACAAAATTTGTCGTAAGTTTTTACGTCAGCTTATTCAGTCTATTACTTCCTCATATTTATTCGAATGGCATTTGTGAGAGGTGAAATATTTCAGACAGCTTTCCTGTCATTGTATAAAAGACAGGCAGCAAACTGGTGAAAACGTTATTGAACAAGAAAGCAGCGCATTATTGTAAGTGGGTTGGAATTTAGCACGATTAACTTGGATGAAATATACAGGACATGTGGAAAAATTTGGTCAATACTCAGTTACATAATCAATGAGCAATGAATTTTTTAAAGGTGACAATCTATGTTATTCAGTCATTCGGTCAAAAGCTCCACGCGGTCTTCATATTTTACATTCCAAATTCGTTTTTATTTTCCTAAATCTACATTTTTTGAGTGCGTTGTTTCATGTCCCAACAAGCCAAAGCCGGTTCGAAATAATCTGTCGAATACGATAATGGATTTCCAGCAGTTTTATCAGATCTGATCAAGTTTCTTCATTTTTATCACTATTTTAGGAGTGCACAGCAGGGCTGGCACCGGGCCATATTTTTAGCGGCCCATCCCGACCGACTCGGTATTTACTTTGACGTATCTCGGCCCGCCCGTATGAATTGATTATTCAGCCTGCCCGGCCCGAACTGTGATTTTATACGACCCGACCGGCCCGGCCTGACTTGGCCCGACAAGTCTTTTCAACACTTTATGAAAAGTTTATATTACTAATGTAGGTTAGGATAAGCATGGATTTTCGTTTATAATGATAAGGGCCACCAATGTTTCTATTGATCTGTAGTATATGATCCAACGGCCAAAAAAAAGTGCTTCCTTTCGTGATTTTTCGTCGAATTTTTGGGGCAGTTTTATTCTGCCTTAAATACATTGCTTGTGAAGTTTATTCACAAATCACTAATATAGTCTAAGCGTAGTTCAAGTGCATTTAGACGATTACAAGCTCAATTTTATTTTGAATCGATAATTATTGATTAGAATTCTTTTGCAATGTATTTAAGGCAGAATAAAACTGCCCCAAAAAGTCGACGGAATCCGTAGCAACGGCATCCCTTCACCGTTAGATCAATAGACTAATGCATACTTTATCACAGAACTCTATTCTGTATGGATGATCAAGTAGTTTATCAACATAAACTTAAACGAAGGACGATTTTTCACAAAAAATGAAATAATAATAAAACAGAGTCGGGCCGGGAGCCCGACTATTTAAATTGGTCCGACCGGCCCGTGAACCGCCTCAGCCCGGCCCGACCGAGCCCGAGAATAGCCTGGACCGAGGCCCCCCGCCCGCAAAATTCTGGACCGGGCCGAGTCGGGCGGGCGGGCCGACCGGTTCGTTTCCTGTGTTACACATAAGAATCCATTTGTAGTAACAGCACATGTCCAGCCGAAAAAAAGAAAAGTTCAAGATCGATGTTAACATTCGTGTAAGTATTTAAATTCTAAAGTTTGCATCTACCAAAAGCATTTGCCTAACTGTTTATTTCGTCATAGCTGTCAAATTAATAACCACTCCCAATAATACAATCGTTCTCTGCTAAAAGAGTTGAAACGTGCAATTTCAAACTCATGCCGTATAATGACAAAACACATATTCCAGGCGCGAAAGTTGAATATTTTGTTGAAACACGTTTAAAAGAAACAAATGAAGAACAAGAATTTGGGTAAATGAAACATTTCTGTTAGAAATATATCAATTTTTATACTCTTTCTGTTAAGCTTGTACGTTACATGTGACGGGAGACGGCGAATATCCTCTGCATCGTTCGTTGATCAGATACCGACAATTATTGTTGTGCAAAACTCGTATTCAGAATTAACAATAAAAAATGTATTAGTACATTTACGTGTGGGAAATCAAAAGTAAGTACTCGCTAACAATGGTTATATATGTGAACCGCTCAAGAGAGAAATGGCATACTTTTTAATAAATTTTTAGAGATGAATTGATTGGAACAACAAATCACAAACAAAACTATTCTATTGGAATGGTTTATTGTGCCACACATGGGAAGACAACAATCGTGGACGATCTTTTTTAACAGTGGACGGTGTACATATTGTTTCCAAGGCCTTTTATATTTTATCATAGTAATTTGTGCTAATTTTTACTATTATTTATGCTTATAATTATTATTGCTTTATTGCTACTGTAAAAAATAAATTAATTGCGTTGCGTGTACGTTTCTATACTCTCTTCTCGCGGTTCTTCTCTTTTCTGCGTGATGACACTCTATTTACAAGCCTTTGATTTTCTTGTGCTTTTCTTTGTTACGTAATGTTTTCTTTGGCATAAAATAATCTTTCAAGTTCAAGTTCTCAGGAACAAACGTTAGTGTACAAGTCATGACAGAAGGAAGTTATGCCCAAAACTGTTTTATTCCAGCAGATCTTTCTTAGAATAATTTGTTTCTATGACGACCACATGTATCTCGCACTTTTATCGTATACCGCACGTACCCAAAAACAATGCTGGATCCGCCACTGCCTGGCACGTGCTTAACTAAGTACTTCAGAAAATTTACAAGTAGCTCTTGTTTAAGCTTAACTTAAGATTATAACCCAACAGCAAAGTCATATCGCCCATCGTGTCATTAAAAACATTGCTGTCAGCTGGTGAACGCACGGTAGACATGAAAAGTGCAGTTTTCGTTCGTTTACGTATTTCAGTCTATCTTATTCATATATACCTCAGATCCCTTAGTTCATAACTTAGACTCATAACCCTTAAGCGGTGCAATTTAATTCCTTTCCATTAATTATCCATGAATTCTACGGAAAAATTCTTAAAGTATCTTAAGTTTAGTTGTTATAGTGATATTTGTCGTTTGTTTCTTCCAAGCATTCCCTCCCTTTGCCATCTTACTTGAACCTCTATCATGAATTCGGTTATATCCGTTAAGTGGTTGGATTCCCTTAATCGATGACCACAACCATCTTACAGAATGGTTATCTGTGCATGTGTGCACAAAATACGGAAAAATGGTCAAATATTTTATGGATCAGCCAATAACAAGAGGGAAAAATAGAAAATTCTTTTTTAACCGCGAGAGAGAAAATATTCAAAGATGACCAGAAATAGAAAAAGATAACCAAACTTTTTCTGTAGTTTGGAAACAGATGTCGCCAGAAATCAGACAATTTTGATAACAGAAAAACGTCATCTACGGATAATAAAACTTCGAGAATATAGGTACTCTACCACGGCGAATAAATCAGAAATACTTCCAACCATCTTGGAATCTTCGGAGGGTGTCCAGAAAACTTTCTACCTTCATATTACATAGGGCGCCTTTTCTGTGAAATGAAAGAAGGTCAAAACATTTTGCACCTATCCTGGCCGTGAGCATTGTCTTGAATTCAGAAATATTTGTAGACCTCTAAGGATATTTGGGGGCTCTCAAGAAAACTTTTAGATTTATATTAGATGACGAAACTTACACAGCAAATCAAGGACTTCATTCAAAGTGTCTGTGTGTACGATTCTGCAGAATTATAAAAGAGAATAATGTTTTGATTCTCTTTTATGTTTATTTTCCTTGTCACTGCGTACAATTAAGTTCTCTAACTCAGACTTCGCTTTCTAGGCGTACTTTGTTCGACTTGAAAATCCGTAGCATGCTGAAATTATAAAAGTGTCCCTTGCTTTCTTGATCTTACTCAAAGGAAGTTCGTGACAATAATTGCGTATATGTTTTCAATAGGTTTGTAATGATAACGAGTAGTACGCTGCTGTTCAATGTTCAATTCTGTAGTGTTTGTGTGTTATTTAAAAAGCAGATATTGAGATAGAAGGTACAAAACTATTAAATGCACTCACGAATTGTGCTCAACGATAAAATATATTTTGTATCTTAGGTTGCATAGGATGTTTGCATTCTCTTTGTCTGTTGTGCTTACTCATCAGTTAATTTTAAATAAATTATGGACTTTTTTGCGTCAGAAGTGAGCTTTCATTCGTGTAAACGGTGAAGATGGGTATCAGCATATTACACTTATGAGGAAGGAGGACACGAAACAAAAACATGGAATGAACACATTTCCTTAGCCACATACGAGGATATATCTAAAGTGAACTGTTATTAGATGCACAATGTGACTAAGAAATACGTCCATCCTATTTATTTTTTCTATATGTTCTGTTCAAAGACATATTACAAGTGTAGTACACGTTCTAATGAGAGAACATTATCAGGCAGGCAACCAAACCCTAAAAAACCAAGGCAGAAATGCCACAAATTAGATCTTGTAAGTAATTGGGCTCAAAGCAAGTAAATTCAGATATATAACTTCAATTGTTTAGTTCATTGACTTCCACTGGAATACAAATCACAATTTAAGTCCTGTTTTTATTAAAGATACAATTTGAAGCCTTTGAGATCAACGGCCAGCAAACACAAATGGTTAGAATTACAATAGATATATGTGGCTCAATGATAAAAATCAACATGAGACGAAGACAGCAACCTTCTTTTCACAAACCATATATCGTCAACAGCACAATAATTTATTGGAATGTACAAAGCAGCTAGCTCTTCTCACGTTCTTCACTACCAAGCACATTACGACACAAAGAAAGTACGTTCAAGCAGGAACCTTTTCACCCTATTCATCTTGACAATTCTATATTGTGTGAGGTGAATACAAACATAAGTCATGCACCTTCACTTATTAATGCGGCACTAACCTGCCGCTAAAACTTAACATACGTTCTACAGATGTATAGAATAAACAGAAGCATTCCAGATGATAAGTCTTCCAGGCCTCTTGCAATGGATCAATCATATATCTTTCACTTGGACGACCTTTTCTCAAAGACTACTTCGGCACATTCATTAACTACAAGTTGCCATTTGATCTTTCTTCGTTCAGCACTGTTTCCATTATAATGTTGAGAACTGCTACGTGCTAAAATCAATGATCCCAAGAGAACCTACTCTTAAAACCATGAGACAGTGCAAACAAAACCAAAATTTCCGCTTTATTCGACCAATAAAAACAGTGCAATAAAGAGTACAATAACAATAGAAGTAATAAAGTACAACAGATAGTACAAATCCAGAAAAACCGCCAATACTACCATATCAAACGCTCCAAAGACAAGCTTCATTCAGTCATAAAATTGGAAATCGTGCGCTGCATCGCAGCCCACGTCCATACGACAGAATTTACCTAGAGCATATTTTTCTTGCCAGGGATTTTAAACTTAGCCAAGGCTTTTTTCAAAAACGCCTCACGACGATCATAATGTTCTCTACAACAATCCCTACAACTCACATCCGGATGGTCCGATGCCAAACACTTTTCCCTTATGCTGAGCGATCTCGTACGATATTCCCAACCGCGGTCATACTCGCCCTTGCAGTCATAAATCAGAGCAATATTATTCAAACTTGTCGCAATATCTGGATGGTGAGATGCGAAACATTTCTCTCTAATGGTCAGACATCTCACATAATATTCCAAAGCGCGATCATACTCGCCCTTCCTACTATAAACAGCGCCAATACTCCCCAGATTTGCAGCAATCTCCGGATGGTCAGGTGGCAAACACTTCTCTCTTATGGTGAGGGCTCTTGTGCAATATTCCAACGCAAGATCATACTCGCCTTTCCTTGCATAAACAGCGCCAATACTTCCCAGACTACTGGCAATATCCGGATGGTCAGATGCGAAACATTTCTCCCTCATGGCGAGAGAACGTGCATAATATTCCATAGCTTGATGATACTCGCCTTTGCTGTCATAAACAGAGCCAATACTCGCCAGAACACTCGCAATGTCTGGATGCTCCCATGGCAAGCATCTATCACTTATGCTGAGAGATCTCGAATAATATTCTAGAGCACGATCATACTCGCCTTGCCTTGCATAAACAGCACCAATACTGCCATGACTGGAGGCAATATCTGGATGGACAGGCGGAAAACATTTCTCCCGTATAGTGAGAGATCTTGCATAATATTCCAGAGCACGATCATACTCGCCTTTCCTTGCATAAACGGCCCCAATACTCCCGTGACTAATGGCAATATCTGGATGGTTAGGTGGCAAACATTTCTCTCTTATAGTAAGAGATCGCGCATAAAATTCCAAAGCCCGATCATACTCGCCTTTCCTTGCATAAACAGCGCCAATACTGCCCAAACTTGTGGCGATTTCTGGATGCTCAGGTGGCAAACACTTCTGCCTTACACTAAGCGACTGCCCAAAATGTTCCAAGGCACTATGATATTCGCCTTTCCTGCTGTAGACCGCACCAATATTATTCAGACTTGTGCCAATATCTAGATGGTCAGACGGCACACATTTTCTAACTATACTTAGCGCTCTAGCATAATACTCCAAAGCGTGATTGTACTCGCCTTTCCGGCTATAGACAGCGCCAATATTATTCAGAATTATGGCAATATCCCGATGGTCAGATGGCAAACATTTTTCTGCTACCGTGAGAGATCTCGAGTAATATTCCAGAGCACAATCATACTCGCCTTTAGTTGCATAGGCGCCAGCAATACACCGGAGACTTATTGCAATATCCGGATGATCGAATGCCAAACATTTCTCTCTGATTGTGAGTGATCTCGCATAATATTTCAGAGCATGATCATACTCCTCTTTCCTCTCATAAATAAGGCCAATATTATTCACGGTCGTTGCAACATCCGCATCGTCACATCGCAAACATTTCTCAGTTATAGCAACACATCTCGCATAATATTCCAAAGCAAGATCATATTCCCCTTTGCTGAAATAAACAGCGCCAATATTACCCAGACATATAACAATATCCGCATGGTCATATGGCAGAAACTTTTCCATTACCTTGAGAGCTCTGATATAATATTCCAAAGCACGATCGTGAACCCCTTTCCTATCATAAATAACTGCAATACTCACCAGACTTGTGGCTACATCCACACCGTAATATGGTACACATGTTGCTGCTATACTACCAGATATTCCATAGTATTCCAAAGCGCGATCATAGTCGCCTTTCCTGTCAGCAATCAGGCCAATATTGCGTAGACTTACGACAACATCGGGATGCTCAGTGGGCAAATATTTCTCTCTTATATTGAGAGATCTTATATAATATGGCAAAGCATTATCATACTCCTCTTTGCAGTCATACACGAGGCCAATATCATTCAGAGTTGCTGCAACATTCGGATGGTCGGACGGAAAACATTTCTCCGTTATAGCAAGAGATCTTGTATAATATTCTAAAGCACGATCATACTCCCCTTTCTTTGCAAAAAGAGCGCCAATCCTCCCCAGATTTATGGGAATATTTGCATCGTCATATGGGAAACATTTCTCAATTATGTTGAGAGATTTTATATAACATTCCAGCGCGCGGTCATAGTCGCCTTTCCGGTCATTAAGAAGGCCCATATTATTCAGAGTTATGGCAATATCCTGATGGTGAGACGGAAAATATTTCTCTCTTATGCTGAGAGATCTGGAGTGATATTCCAAAGCACGATCATATTCGCCTTTTCTACCATAAACCATGCCAATATTAGTTAGAGTTATGGCGATATCCGGATCATCAGAAGGTAAACATTTCTCCCGTATGTTGATAGATCTTATATAATATTGCAAAGTACGATCATAGTCGTCTTTCCTGTCATAAACTAGGCCAATATCATTCAGAGTTGTTGCTGTATTCGGATGGTCCGATTCGAAACATTTCTCAGTTATAGCGAGAGATTTATCATAATGTTCCAAAGCCTTATCGTACTCGCCTTTCTTTGCATAAAGAGAAGCAATCCTTGCCAGACTTGTGGCAATATCGGGATGATCATATGGCAAGCATTTCTCCATTAGGTTGAGAGATTTGATATAATATTCAAAAGCACGATCATATTCGCCTTTCCCGTCATTAACGAGGCCAATATTATTTAGAGTTGTGGCAATATCCAGATGATCAAATGGCAAATATTTCTCTCTAATGGCGAGACATCTCGCATGATATTCCAGAGCGCGGTCATATTCGCCTTTCCTCGCGTAAATAACGCCAATATTAGTTAGACTTATGGCAATATCCGGATGATCAATGGGCAAACATTTCTCCATTATATTGAGAGATCTTTCAAAATATTCCAATGCACGATCATGCTCACCTATCCTATCATAAACTGCTGCAATACTCCCGATGCTTGTGCCCAATTCCTGATGGTCATACGGCAAAGCTTTTTCTTCTATAGTAAGAGATCTCGCATAATATTCTAGAGCACGGTCATAATCGCCCGTCCGGTAATAAACAGACCCAATACTCCGCAGACTTTTGGCGACATTCGGTTTGTCAGATGAGAAATATTTCTCTAGTAAGTTGAGAGATCTTGCATAATATTCCAAAGCATGATGATACTCGCCTTTCCAGTCATAAACAAGGGCAATATTATTCAGCGTTGTTGCAATATACGGATGGTCAGCTTGGAAACATTTCTCGGTTTTAGTGAGGCATCTGGCATAATATTCCAAAGCACGATCATACTCGGCTTTCTTCGCACAAACAGCGCCAATAGTCCCTAGACTTATGGCAATGTCCGGATGGTCATAAGGAAAACATTTCTCCATTATGTTGAGAGATCTCACATAATACTCCAACGCACGGTCATACTCGCCTTTCCTATCATTAACAAACCCAACATTATTCAGGCTTGTGGCAATTTCTGCATAGTCCGGTGGAAAATGGTTTTCTCTTAAAGTAAGGGCTCTCTCGTGATACTGCAAAGCGCGATCATACTCTCCTTTCCTATCGTAAATAGTGCCGATATTGCTGAGACTTGCAGCAATATCTGGATGGTCTCTTTGCAAACATTTTTCTCTAATGTTGAGAGATTTTACATAGTACTGCAGCGCACTATCACACTGGCCTTTCCTGTCATAAAGAAGGGCAATATTACTAAGACTTGTGGCAATATCCGGATGATCAGGTGGCAAGCATTTCTGTCGTATGCTGAGAGATCTCGAGGAATACTCGAAGGCACGATCGTTGTCGCCTTTGCTGTGATACACCGCGCCAATACTAAACAGAATGTTAGCAATATCCGGATGCTCAGAAGGCAAACATTTCTCACTTATAGTAAGAGATCTCGCGTAATATTCCAAAGCACGATCATATTCGGCCTTCCTGCTGTAAACAACACCGATATTATTCAAACTTGTGGCAATATGCGGATGATTAGGTGGCAAACATTTCTCTCTTATGGTGAGAGATCTGGCGTAATATTCCAAAGCACGATCATAGTCACCTTTGCTGTTATAAGCTGCTCCAATATTATTGAGACTAGTAGCAATATACGGATGATCAGGTGGCAAACATTTCTCGCTAATAGTGAGAGATCTGTCATAATATTCCAAAGCGTGATCATACTCCCCTTTTCTGTCATAGAGCAGGCCAATATTGTTCAGACTTGTGCCGATATACGGATGGTCAGCTGGCAAACATTTCTCTCTTGTGGTGAGAGCTCGAGTATAATATTCTAAAGCACGATCGTACTCGCCCTTCCTTGCATAAACATCACCAATACTGCCTAAACTTGTGGCAATATCCGGATGGTCAGATGGTAAGCATTTTTCTTTCATAGTGAGTGATTTCTGGTAGTATTCCAAAGCACGATCATACTCGCCTTTGCGATCATAAACGGCGCCAATGCTCCCGAGACTTGTGGCGATGTCGGGATGGTCAGCTGGCAGACATTTTTCTGTTATTGTGAGTGATCTAGCATAATATTCCAAAGCACGGTCATACTCGCCTTTGCTGTCATAAACGGCGCCAATGCTGCCCAAGCTTGTAGCAATATCGGGATGGTCAGATGGCAAATATTTCTCTCGTATGGTAAGAGATCTGGTATAATATTCTAAAGCACGATCATACTCACCTTTGCTGTCGTAAACAAGGCCAATATTATTCAGACTTGTGGCAATATCCGGATGGTCAAATGATAAACATTTCTCTCTGATGTTGAGGGATTTCGCATAATATTCCAATGCTCGATCATATTCGCCTTTTCTGCTATAAACGGCGCCTATATTCCCGAGACTTGTGGCAATATCAGGATGGTCAGAAGGCAAACATTTCTCAGTTATAGCGAGAGACCTCTCATAATATTCCAAGGCACGGTCATACTCGCCTTTCCTGCTGTAAACCACGCCGATGCTCCCTAGACTTGTGGCAATATCAGGATGGTCAGATGGCAAACATTTCTCAGTTATAGCGAGAGATCTAGCGTAATACTCCAAAGCACGATCATATTCGCCTTTTGTCGCATAAACGGCGCCAATACTCCCCAGACTTGTGGCAATCTCCGGATGGTCGTGTGACAAGCAGTTTTCTTTCATAATGATAGATCGCGCATAATATTCCAGGGCACGATCATATTCGCCTTTGCTGTGATGAACAGCGCCGATATTATTCAACACTCTGGCTGAGTGTTTCTCTGGCAGTCGTTTACTGATCATGATTGCATGGCTATGCTCATACTGTTTCAGCGCATTATCGTATTCACCTCGGTTGTGATAAGCAACACCAAGGTTATAGTGTATGTGGGGGATATCCTCAGTTTCTGGATTTTGCAAAAGATGTTGAAAATACGTTTGTGATTTCTCATACTGACCCATGTCATATAAGAGGGAGCCGAACATCACGGCGGCGCTTGTTTCTTCTAGCTCTTTTTTATTCAGCTCGATATATGGTCGTGCAATATCTACCCCTTCACATGTTGCTTTCAGGTGCACGCGGCACAGAGTCGATTTTATGCGGTCAACTGATAGAATTTTAAAAGTTGCACCCAGATCAAAGAGAACCTCCTGCTCTTCTGGATAATCGCTAAATTCTGCGATGTCGGCACACACAACAGCATCGTTCAACTCGCTGAAATCACACTCGATCTCAAACAAAACGACAAGGGTGTCTTGACGCTTCGTTGGTTTACAGGCAAAATCCTCAGCCACTGAGAGCAAACGACTTGTTGACAGGAAGCCATTTGTCGAAATCAGTTTACCTTCATTTTTTTTCAACTTTCCAGCTTCTTCACTTGTTATCTTCACACCTCGATAGACGCGCAGCACACCCTTCTCCCGTTGTTTCATCTTCTCGTATTCGTTTGCAAGACTTGAGCAGAGATCGGCGATAAAGAAGCGAAATATGTGCAGTTGTTCGATATCTTCTGTGCGCAGAGCTTTATTGATGAGTTTATAAATGAACGATTGTCGAGTGTACCATCGAATAGCATGGGTTCGTTGATAAGTATCAACGAATTCCTGAATGGATTGGACTTCTTTTCTGTTGCCGCGATAATACTCGTGACACTTTTCGATCATTTGACGTTTACCATGATTATCAGGAGGCATTCGGATGATCAAATCTTTGAACAGTTGGAACCATAGAAAGGAAGCCGATTCGTGCGACAAATCACGAGTCAACCTTTGTTGATTATAAAAGCTGAACGATTGCAGTTGTTTCTCAACTAGATCGACATTCATTTTTATAGAATCGACGAGTTCTGCTTGTTCAGTGAATATTCCGATTATTTTTGAATAGTCGTGTTGCAGATGCTTGTACTTTTCTCGTTTGATACAGAAAATGAATATGGAGTCGACTTGGCTTAGACTCTCAACATGAGATAAAAGATCGACGGCACATTTCCCCGATGTCAGAAGAAATATTTTCTCATTTTCAATCTTTGTGATGTGGCCAATGCATGAATCTAGCTGTGTATGGAAAACAACGAAATCGTTGATATCTCTCAGCATTGCCATCGTGTACTCTGTATCTTTTCGTGAACCGATATTTGGATCAAACCAAATTAGTGTCACACTCTCTTTGTTCTCATCATTTTCTGTTCTGTTCGCAGTGGTATTTGCCGGTGAGTGAAGCGAAGAAGTCAGTGCTATGAACGTGGGTTTGGCATTCTCACTGTTTTCTGTATGAGAAGGAGCTGTTGCTGTGGATATTGTTGTTATCAATAAGTGATTAGTCGAAGATGCTGACTTTATGTCATGTTCTCGATTGACCAACGAAGATTTCTCGGAAGCTGACAACGATGACATTGTCGCTTTTGTCTTGGTGTGCAGGTGTTGTCTTTGTGCCGATTAAGAGAAGGGTACTAGAAGCATGAAAGAAGTGAGATGAGTGTAATGATTGTGTTAATGCCTTCCATTTATCTGCCACATTACCATAGAATGATGCCATCTCACATAACTGATTGCTAGGTTATCGTGCACAGAGCGAAAGAAAATCATGAGGGCCACATTGACTAAGCAAATGCCATAGTGGAAGTGTTGTGGCATGCTTGCGTAACATATGTCAATGGTAGAATATAGTAGAAGCCCCTAGAATGCTGTCAAATCCAAGACTACCATTTTTCAGTTGTTTAGTGGCTTCGGTTGATATTGTCCAAAACCTGCACCAAGAAAAGTGAATGAAAAGATTAATTGTATTGAGTCCAACAATCATCGTTTTAAAACTTTTATTTGAAACAGGAGCTTTCGATTACAACTGTAATTATCGTCAGGTACATTTAGACGAAAACACATAGTAATTAGACACATTTTCGACGATAATTACAGTTGTAATCGAAAGCTCCTGTTTCAAATAAAAATTTTAAAACGATGATTGTTGAACTCATACAATTAATCTTTTCATTTAAGAAAATGGAAGTAGCTTACCCCTAATTATTATTTCAACGTATCTGAATATTTTTCGCACTTGGTAGTCATGTGTTCAGGTTGTTTTTGTGAGCAGAACAAATTTAACCAGTGGCTTCAGAATGCGAAATAAACTGCTCTCATGACAAGATATCATAGCCAAATAGAAGAAAAAATAAGCTTATATTTTTTGTTTGAAAAAAGCTAAAAGGAGATGCGACTGAAGTGCACTGAAGCATTCTATAGCGATCATGTGTGAAGAAAATAAATAAAATGTGATACCCATCTCGTTTTATTCGAAGAAAAACAAAAAGCTAACTGACTGCAGAGAAAACATATAGATGCAACAAAAATATATAGATGTGAGAGAGAAAGCAAGGAACCTGAACACAATGAATGTAGCTATGATAAGAGAAGGAATGATGACAAAGAGATGCTTTAGGGAGACTTATGACTGTCAGAGAGCCAGGCAAAGTATGTCTAGAAACTTTCTGGCCTAAGCAAAATCACATACTTCAATACTGTTTTTTATTTTAGAAAGGTTGTAAAAACGAACACACAGAGTATAACGTGCGGTATAATTACACTAAAAAATGAAGGCAACACACCGGTATATATACGCGCGAGTACAATGGAAAAAAGTATAGGACGTCCTGCAGACAGTAAAACGAAGAGAGATTGTGATACAACAGTTATCAATTTCTGAAAAAAGAAAAATATTGGACAACAAAGAGAGAAAGATGATATGTACAATATCTATGTGTGCGAGAAATTGGCCTTGTCCAATGTATCCAGTATTCCAAATGGATCATATGATCTTCCAGTTTTTGAATAAATTATTATAACGTCAATATATTCTAACGCGTACTTCCATCTTGCTGGACCAAGAATCTCGTTGATAACGCGCTGGAAGGACAATGACCCGTTGATGATTCCTTGGAGCATAACGGTAAATTGTAAATGTTTGTCCCCCGTTGAAAATGCTGTCTTCGGTTGATCTGCTTTATGCAATGGCATTTGAAAATAGCCAGCTTTAAAGTTCAATTTTGTGAAATAAGCAGATTCACCTAACTGAACAAGTATCTCGTCAATTCTTGGTAAAGGATCTTTTGTTGTTATTTCATTAGTTCGACGATAAACTATACAGAAACATATTGTGTCATCCGTCTTTTGTATCAACACAATAAGACCTGAAAATGCAGACGTGGAGTACTCAGCTATACTTTGTTTGGTTGACCTACATGATCATTCCTTTTACCTAATATCGACGGTAGTGTTAAACAAACTGTTAATTCTACTTGATTTGATGTTCATCCCAGTTTTGTATCTTTTGATGGAAGCGGCTACGTGCACACAGGCACACATTCAAAATCAATTAATTAATAAATATTAAGTTATATTATAACCTTATATGTACTTAATTACTAATATAAATAAGTAATAATACTTTATTACAATTTAAATAAAGAAAAATCATAGTATTATATACGTATAGCCAACATACTATGTGCACTCATGTACCACTCGACTATGTATACTATGTATCATGTATACTTCGGTCAAGGGGAAAATAGCTGAATTTGATATGTTTTTGAATGTACTTGAATTTTTGTCGCGTATCTAAAGAACTATAGAAAGAGCAGAAAGTCGGTAACTAGTGATTTATTAATACAAACGAAGACACAAGGTGATAGAAAAGAACGTTTCTCTATTTTTTACTCATGTGCGTCACCCGAGATAAACGATCTGAGGATAGAGTTCTGTTTTTATCAGTTAACATCAAGCAGGCTGATTGTTTATGTAGACCATGAACTTTATCATTGATTTTAATTTTGAAATATGAATCTTTCTGTTCATCAACAACTTGCTCTTGTATTCTTAGTCCTTGAAGATTTGTCTTTGTTGTTGTTAAATAACCTTCATCGGTTTATTGTCGTCCTCATCGTTACTATCATACGAGCGTTCGTCGCCATCGTCCACTTTAGGCTCGTCATCATCATCGTCGTTATCATCTCCTAGATCGAATTCAGAATCGATTGCAGATGAATTATCATTATCCATTTTTGAATTGTCAGCAAGCTTTGATTTTGTTTTTAAATGATGACCGATATTTCCACTTAATTCATCCAATTCGAACACATCGTGTTTTTTCAAGACGTTTGATGTATTCAGCTGTTCAATGAGTTTATCAGCAAGTTCATATGAATTTCGAATCGTTTGTTCTACGTTCAAAGTTTCTATATTACTTAAGTTTTGTAATGATAAAAGCGGATTCCTCATGCTTGTGTTTATGATGAACAGGAAATTTCAATTGTTCCTTGGTTTCCTCCAATTCTTTTGATTTTATGTCATTGAGGACGGTTGACTTTTGTGGCGACGGAGAAAATCATGTATGGTGAAATTCACAATTGTAGAAAGAAGATGCACCACTTAGTGCTCTTGTGTTTCGCAAAATTAAACAGATACAGATTTAAGGCTTCTTTAGACAGTTGTTGTTGTTGAACAAGTAAGATGAGGTATAGAAGATCGTAAGCATGAATTTCAACAGATAAATAAGCCGTACATGTAATAAAGTATTTTTCTCTACTATTCTTATTTTTTTGTTGGACGGAAAGGTTGTGTGTAACAGCCAAGACCACCAAAATCGGCAAACAAAAACGATACACCATGCCGTTTCTAATCCTCCTATATCAAAAGTTGGATTTTTTCTAAGAAAATCGTGCATTCCGCGTCACCGATTAACGATCGCGAAAAATTGGGCTACTTCTCCACCCAGGCCGTTCAAAACGATTCACCTAGCGGCATGTTAGCATTACTATTTTTACACCGTCTACACCACTTTTTCGCGGTTTATTCGACATTTTCGGCCGTTTGTACTCAGTTTTCGGTGCATCAAAGAGCCATTTTTATAATGATCTAATGGTCGATTTACCCGCCGTTAAAGACCCGTTCTGTTTGGCACGGATGTACTCAATATCTCTAGCTAAGAAGACATTACAGCCAAGTTTTTGTCTCTAGTAATTTAAGCCGTACACTGGACACCTTCTGAGTAGCTTCCAGAACTCCGTATGAACTGGACTGAAATTTTTTGGATTTCATGGACTCGAACTGGACTGGACTCAAACTCTCAAGACCATCGACTGGTCTGGACTAGGAAACATTTTGGATAGACTTGAATTTAGGAGAAATCGCTAAAGGACTCGCTGTTTTGTTATGTTAAAGGCGATTCTATATAGCGTCTTTTCTTTCTCTGTTAGTATCATCGTGTGTTTCTTTTATTTTAACTATCATCAGACGGACTACTTCACATGTTCGTTTATATGTACAAATTTCGTATATAAATAATAGCTCTCTTTACAGCTCTTTGTACATTTTTCTGACAATGAACTTTTAGACTATTCGAAACCTTAAAAACGAAGATGCAAAGTAAGTATTAAAAATACACTATATATAATTTTTAATAGTTACATTCATTATCAATTTTACAATATACACTGTATACTTTAAAAAAGATAATCCAGTGTAAGGAGAAGTCCTCCCGTCATCAGTCCATGCTTAGTTAACTCTGGATCAAAATTCAGCCTTTCTTAAAAAAATCCAAATTCGAGAAGATGGCAACGTCTGATCTAATATCTCAAAATCATGTCTGCACCGCTGATGAAACAACACAGATTGTTTTAATCTATGGACTGAATTGGTTTGAGTCCATACGATGCTCTGATGGCTTCTTAAACAAGTTTGCTTTTCTGTGCGAAATGTGGTCTATTATCGTCTCTTTTATCAAGTGTCCTTTTAGCTTACGTTTTTTGATGACGCTGATTTTTTAATATAAGATGTTATAATCATTTTTAATAATGTTAAATATAAGAGTGTTCCATTCGCAACTGTTTCCTCATTCAAAATATTTAATACATCATCTGATCTGTAATTCTGTCTATCTTTTAGGTTTATGTCGAATTTTGTTTGTGTAATTATCATTTTTCAGTATATTTTGTAAATGGTAACGCGTGTAATTCCATTACCAATTCGTAATTCGGCTCGCTGTGATGGTGGACAATTTCTCCATTTTCTGACAAGATGTATTGGATCTTGTAGAAATATAAACAGCTGTTTTTGTCGAAGGAAAAACCACCGCCATTCGTTTACAGTTCCAATACGAAAAGTGTCAGCACGTTCATATAACTTATAATTAGGAAATGATGCAAAAAATCCGCTCATAAGTTAGTTAGTTAGACCCATTACCTTTGGGTGTAGGGTAAGACAACACAAAAGAAGTACACAAAAAATACACAAATGAAAGAAGTGATCATTCAACTTCTGTCCTGTTCGTTCACATTATGTAGATAAATAAAGGCTTTTCATCCGACTATCACCCTCCAAGTATACTTGGTTTAGATGATATTCTTCATTTCACCAGTATTACTAAACATAATTTGTTTTCACATCATTTCTTTCCAATTTTAATGTTGTTTTTCTTACACCAATCTTTTGCACACGACTTCACATGGCTGTGATACCTTGTGGCTTGAAAGATCTGTTACAATTTGGACAAGTGTAGGTGTTGTTTGCATCTTTCACCGTTTCCTTGTCTGCTTTGTAACCAAAAGAGTTTTATGTTCAAGAAGTGGATGGCCAGCCCAAATCTAGGACGCGTGGCTCCCAGCAGCCCAGGGTCGCCTCCTACTGCTCTGAAAAAGTGAGGCTTCTGAATTTTAGTTTTTTTCTTTGGACAATGATAATAAGTATATGAAAGTAATGCGTCTCATGAGCGGTAATGCGTCCAGTCTACCGGGGGAGTTTTCGAACTTCTACAGGGCCCTACGGCTGTTCTAAATAGAATCCGGAGTACAGAAAGGAACCACAAATTTTAAACACATATTTATTTGTGAAATTTTTTAAACAAGGACAGTGGATGTGTTTAAAAACTAAGTTTAGCTATACTTTACTCAAGAATTTTATAGCAGTAGTTAGGAACCAAATCGATTTCGGTATAGAAAAACGAGAAACTGTACCTCTTGAAAATTCAATACTTCAAAATTATTTTTCCAGACAATTATCAAAAGTAAAAATCCATCTTCTTATGATATCATATGCGATGAATTTGCTGTTGACTCCGTAAGCTGCCAATAAAAAGGCACCAGAGGATTTTATATCATTCGAATAAGGAATGGCTTAAACCATTTGGATATTTAGTAACGGTGATTTTTCGATCGTTATTACAATTATACAATTGCACAAGTATAGGACAAAAAACTTAATTCAAATAAAGATCAACTAATTTGGAAACATGTGGCTAGCGCCGCTCGTTGAAGAAAATGGTTGTATTTTATTTCAATACATAAAGATGTCTGATCATAAAACAATGAAAATGGAACATCCCTATAGCAAAGCGAAGTAGCAAAAGCTAATGCAAATAATCCCCAATTTTTACAATGAATTTGCTGTTGAACATTTTCAACTGAAACCAAAACTGTTTCTTCATCAGTTAAGATGTCCTTTATTGATTCTTTTGGATAGCTTAATAAATCATAAACTTTCTAAATATTATTACAGTCCAAACTTGAAATTGTTAGTGATCGTTATTTGCATTAAAAATAAAAATCGAGTTCTCCACTGAATGTTTGTATAGTTTTATTTGTGCAGGATCACACAAACTATTAATATTTGGAAATTGTTTATGTAATAATTCAAAGAATAAATATATATGACAATCAATGAACCATCTCTTTTTATCATAAACATCACGAATTGAATTTACTTTTTTATTACGTTTATAATTATATCTTTCTAGATCTGGTGAAACTTGTTTATAAGTTCTTTTTTTATTTATTTTATCTTGATTGGTTTTATTATCTTTTTGCTTATAAGCCATCAATGGTGCTTTGCCACACAGTCAACATGAAGGATTAACTACTAGCAAATAGCGAAAAACCCTCTTTTCTTTTAATAATATATGTTCTTCTTGTTCTACTTTTGCTCCTGTTTCTTATTCCAATTCTAATTTTAGTAGCTCTTTTCCCCTTCTTGAAAGAATTACTTCTTGTTCTTGTTCTAATTCTTCTTCTTAATTAAATTCCACTTGATCTTGTCTTTCAATTTCTTCTTGTGTATAATCGAGTTTTGCTTGTTCTACTGCTGGTTCTCGCTGTATATCATCAGGTAGATCTACAAATAGTTCTTGTTCTATTTTTTGATCTTGTTGTACGGAATAATTTTGTTTTAAAGAATTTGCATAATTGTACAACTCTTTATGTTTGTTTGTATTGATAAAATCGAGAACAACATTGAGAAAATTTAAATGCTCCTTAGAGTCATTAGTTCCGGATTGATATGTGCGAGCTGCTAATAGATCTAAGGTTGGTTTCACACAATTATACTTGACATTACTACTTAAAATTTTATTTTTTAAGTTGCAACTTGAGTTACTATAAATTGTAAATCACAATTTTATATATTATCATAATATGCGATTCCATTTAAATAATAATCAGCTGCAATTTTAACCATCCATTGTTAATTGAGATAATTCCTCGATTTTATTAGCTTGATCGTACATCGCATCATTAATTCTATTAAGCAAGACGCCGACACGTTAATTGATTCTGTAACTAAAATTGACAATTACAAAATAACAGCTGTTAGTATAAATTGCAATGAATTACACTTGAAGAAATAAAATGATTTTCCTCTTCGTCCTTTTGACCGATTTTCTATCTGTTTTCTGCAATTTCTTCAATACAATAACGTTTATGTTTTAGTTCTTCATTTTTTTTTATGTATTATTCAATGGCTTTGTTTTTAATCCGTGAACCAAATCTCTTAAGCAATATTGAATCATCAGAATTGTAAATCTCTTGTTTCAAATTAATATTTAAATTCATTTCTTCGGCTTTGGCGTCTTCAACAGCTAAAATTAATTTTGTTTTGCAATCAGATATGAACATTTTAGAGCTATATGATCTTTTAGTTTTCGATTAAACTGTTCAGGATGGTTATTAGTATCTGTATCAGAGTTAAATAGATTGTTACGATATTCTATTTGCCACATTTCGCAACACGAGAGTCAATTTACTTCAAAATATTCGTAGAAATAAATCAGTTTCTTCTCAATTATTTTTGATTTCGTTCCAATATATAGCCGATATTTGGTCATATCGTAAAGCAAATTGCGAATATTTTTCATAATATTCATTCGATTTGATAATGGGGTTTTACGGAGTAACTGACTAATTCGAGTTCGAATATGACTACCATTTTCCGAATTGTGGTATACACTTTACTGTAAAAGTTTAGAAAAAAAATTTTCCTTCATGTTCGGATTCGAATTCGGACACATCGTAGTTCGAATTCGAATTGTGGTATACACTTTGCTGTAAAAGTTTAGAAAAAAAAATATTTTCCTTCAAGTTCAAATTCGGATACATCATAGTTCCTTCATGTTCGAATTCGAATGTGATCTACACTTTACTGGAAAAGTTTAGAAAAAAACATTTTTCGTTCATGTTCGGATTCGAACTAGGATACATCATAGTTTCATCATGTTCGAATTCGAATTGTGATCTACACTTTACTGGAAAAGTTTAGAAAAAAAATTTTTCGTTCATGTTCGGATTCGAATTCGGATACATCATAGTTCGAATTCGAATTGTGGTATACACTTTACTGTAATAGTTTAGAACAAAAAGTTTTCCTTCATGTTTGTATCCGAATTAGGATACATCATAGTTTCTTCATGTTCGAATTCGAATTGTGGTATACACTTTGCTGTAAAAGTTTAGAAAAAAAATTTTTCCTTCATGTTCGGATTCGAATTCGGATACATCATAGTTCGAGTTCGAATTGTGGTATACACTTTGCTGTAAAAGTTTAGAAAAAAAAAAGTTTTCGTTCTTGTTCGGATTCGAACTGGGATTCTACCAGAAATCGAACTCGAATTGAGATGAATACTTTACTGTAAAAGTTTGGAAAAAAAAGTTTTGTGCAGGGTTCAAATTCGAATTGTGATTCTACCAAATATCGAATCCGGATTGGGAGAAATTCTTAACTGTAACTGTTTCGAAAGAAAAAGTTTTTTGTCGAACTTCGAATTGGAACTGGGATTCTGCAAGATATCGAATTTAAATTTCTGTTCAGTTTGATTTCGGACCGGATGTGTGTTAGTTGCTTACTCTCAGCCACCCGACTTCCCTCCCGGACCGGCTCGACGTTGTATGAAAATATTCTTTGTTTATGGAGCAAATGTCGACTGAATATGTGTTGAGTGGTAGTGAGATCATTGATGAGGATCCATAGCAAATTCCTCTTGAGGACATGTTTGATTATTTATTTAGTTTACCTCTATTTAAGACATGTTGTTTAGATATTTAGATATTATATTGTGAGAAACTTTAATTTAATCAATTTGCGCTCCAGAATCTTCGTAAAGTATCCAAATAAAAGATTACCCTACAGAATATACATCACCCAGCAAAGTCTACTTAAAGAAAGTTCTAAAATCTGGTTTGACCAAAACACCATCACTGTTGACACCATTAGAACTTAGGGTACAAATGTTTTGTAAATTCGGGTAAAACACTATAATTCTAGTCCCGCTAGAACTCAGTTGAACACTATTCATTTGTTTTGTTCTAAAAATATATTTGCTCCGGAATAAAAAACATGTTAATAATGGAAGTCCAGATGGTACAAATATGTTTGGGCATATCATCGGAACATATGTCAATAATGTACTCAGAATCATATATCAGAGATTAAGTTATTTTTTAAGCCTTTTTCATGTTATTTTTTCAAGTCATAACGTCTTTTAAAATCAAAAACCTTGGCTTTTCAGATGTTTTTCAGTATTTTAGCTCTAATTCCAGAAACAAACGGAGCCAAAAAAAGTTTGAAAAAGTAGTCTTTTGAGATACTTTTTATGTAACCGCAGTAAAATTCTCAGTCCGATCAAATAAAACATTAGGTGGCAATCAAGAGAGGGGGAATGGAGATGGTGAAGCTGGTCTTCGGGCCGCTTTTATAGAGATATACGCTTGATAACATAAGGCGTAACATCTCACGAGGGAACCTTTCGAGGTGATTAAAAGCTTTTTGATCGACATCTAGTGGGTTATAGGTTATCGATCAAACTGATTCCGAATATGGCCATGGGACTTCCCCGTAGCTCTTCGAAGATCCAGTCTTCTGGAAAACCAGTTTTTCAGAAACTCTAAAAATAACTCAAGCCTTTCTTAATAATGCAGGATTGCAGCGCGCAAATTTCTGATTAAAATAATACATCCTCCAGCTGTACACGACCTTTCTTTGCAAAGTTATAGAGTTTATAAGAAAAGCCCTAAATTAATTTTTTCCTTCTTATTTCTACAGCTTTGAGCTGACAATGAACAATTTAGGGCTCTTCTTATAAATTCTATAACTTTGCAAAGAAAGGTCGTGTACAGCTGGAGGATGTATCATTTTAATCAGAAACTTGCGCGCTACAATCCTGCATTATTAAGAAAGGCTTGGGTTATTTTTTGGGATTTCTGAAACACTGGTTTTCCAGAAGACTGGATCTTCGAAGAACTATGGGCAAGTCCCATGATCATATTCGGGATCAGCATGGTCGATAACCTATAACCCACTAGATGTCGATCAAAAAGCTTTTAATCACCTCGAAAGGTTCCCTCGTTAGTTATAACTATTTGCCTCATCAGTAAATAAATAAAGACTATAAATAAAAACGTCCGTACCGCTCGAGCCACGCAGAACCAAACTTTTGCTTAGATCCTAGTTTGTAGCGAATACGTCAGACTATCTATACATCGAAAAAAATCGATAGATTCCTGTGGCAGCTTCCAGAGATGCAAGCTGATTTTGTTGAGGTCTTTTGAAAAACAGACTTACAAATGTTTTCAAAACCAGTTTTTGCTTGTGAAAAGATACCTTCAGATGCCCTCTTTTGATTAGTGAAAACCACAGGCTTCTATCTTGCATTCCCTTTGAATTATTCCAAAAATGGCATCTGCATTGTATTTTGGCGTCGATAGTAGGTGAAAAACCAAGTTTTTTAATTCTGAAACTCTATAACAAAAACATGTATTTTCAATAAAAAAGAAAGTAGCATAAACTAAAATCCAAAAAATACGTCTTGCGATAAGGTTTCAGTACTCCTAGTAGAAGTTTGAAGTCACTCGGGTGAAATCTAAGGGGGATCGTTAGACGGCCATGTAACTCCGCCGAAAAAAAAACTCATTTTTTACTATGCGGCTGTAAACCGATCCATTGTAAAAGAATAATGTTTTATTGGACGTGTATCATTTTCACTACTAATCATATGTGTAACAAGTTTACGTAAATTTTTTTTCGATGATTGTATTGGAAATGTTTGTGCACGTTCAAATGACTAAATCAGACCTGTTTCAATTAAATGTGAACGAAAATTTTTGTTTTACATTTGTTGGAGCATCAAAAATCTTATATGAAAGACATTTTATTTTAAATATTAAGATAGGCTGTAATGGACACATGGTATCTTTACATAAATAGGAAACAGACTTATTATGTTGTAAAAGTAATGTTATTGAATAAAATTTTGTAAATATTTCAATGACAGAAAAAGCACGTTATAAAAATGTTTTTCGTTCATTTGTATCACAAAAACATGTATTTTCAATAAATATATCGAGTAATGTACATAAACGATTGTATAGGGTTACAGAAGACTTTATATGTTCAGAAAGTTGACGTAAAAGATCTAATATATTTGACATTTTTGTTGTATTTTGAATTAATGATAGAACAAGTTTTGTTTTTTTAATATTGTATACGTTCATCAATATCTGTTTCATGTACGTTCATTATTTTGTGCTTCACCGCTAATAAATCTGAATTTCTTGGCAACATTCTACTTAAGATATTATCAATGAATGTATACAATAATTCTTTTGTATATTTTAACATTTTTTAAAAATTCGATGAAATTTTAATTAATGCGAAACCAGTTTGTGTAAGGAAATGTTCAATTTGTATCAATAGCACAAGTATACGACTTATATTGGTTCTTTCTTTCACCAGATTGTTTTTCCGGTCTAATATGCACAGAAAATCGAATCAGTAACCTTTAAAGAAAAGATCGTATTACAAAAACGTGACTGAAATAAATCTAAAAGTAAAGTAATGAATGGCAGCATTAAGCCGAACAAAATTGATTTTCCCTTTTCTGAAAGAAGGACTCTAGCGGCGCACAGTATGATGAAACGAAGCAAAGAATGATGAGAGAGAAAAGCACTATATTAAAATGAAGACGATGAGAATCAAAAGAATGAATACATACGCCTTAATTCTGATGCAACCATTCATTACTTTACTTTTAAGATTTATTTCAGTCACGTTTTTGTAATACGATCTTTTCTTTAAAGATTACTGATTCGATTTTCTGTGCATATTAGACCGGAAAAACAATCTGGTGAAAGAAAGAACCAATATAAGTCGTATACTTGTGCATGGGTACTCACAAAAAGAGAATTGAAATATGATGTATTCTGTAGTCTTCTTCGTTGGATACCTGTTGTGTTTTACATCTGCATCACATAGTGAAAATGTTGAAAAAGGTAAGAAAAACTGGGTATAAATTAGTGTTTCTCATCTGGCCAGATTGTATGCTCGTACTATGCTGTGTGAGTACATTGTAACGTCTGTTATACCGCATGCAAATGTACCTTCAGGTGTCTTCTACTCGGTCATAGAACTGATGTTAAGCTGGTAGCTGTCTTTTTGTCTACCACTGTCTACAGCATGATCGTTTTTCAAAAATAGACTTATATTTAAGTTACGTCTAGCGATTGATTTCCACGATACCTACGTACATTTCAATGGCCTAAGAGACAAGCGGTACCTTCATTTCGTTATTAGTTCAAATCCGTAGATTACCCAAAAGTCCTTTGCGCTCCAATAGGTTTGAATATGTCGCAGAAAATATGATAAATCATCGACTACATTTATTTTCGGTATGTTATCAGTTATCTCACTGTCTGTTCATATAGAGCTAATATTTATTCGTAGAGACATAGATCAAGTTTGCCGATGGTCAGCCGGGTTTCAATATGATAGCTGAGTTCCAGAAATGTATGACTCGGAACACTGGTAGAGTCCTGCGGGATTGACTTGCCAGTGCCGATCCCGACCGCATTCCTCCCAAAAACGTTTTTGAAGAAAAAAGTCACATCTTTCAGTTGATCATAGTATTATGAGACTAATGAAAGGTAGCAGTTGATTTCTCCACCTGGACGAACGATAAGCAGAGTTGAAAAGGCGTTCGCCTTGTTTACTTACTTTTATCTCTCGATCTCTTCTGTAGCAGCAATGTTTATCTCTTGCTTCATAGACAACGACGAACAAATAAAGTAGTTCCCGCTGTTCTGCATCATAAATTAAAACTTACAAATGAAAAGCGCCAAAAAGAATAACTGGAACATTTTTCAAAAGAAGAAATTGTTGCTGGTTTTGAAGAAACGGAAGCAAATCTGCATATCGTAAAAATTGTGGGGTTGATTTCTGAAATATTTTTAGATTTCTGACGCACATCCATAATTAGGACAATGAGCAAATATCTTTCTGTTTTTACTGTGATAAAAGAAGTTTTGGGTATATTGATAAAAATTCCATCGAAATCCATTAGACGGAAAGTCAATCGGGTTCCTAATGTCGCCGGATCAGGACCATCCCGAACAACACTTGATATCATGCTCTATAAGAATTGCACTTTCCCTTTCTTTTCTACCGAGTTCGTAGCTTTACCTTCCCATACCATGTGTTAGAAGAGTAGACAGAATTACGATTACTTTGACATGCGTTAAAATACAAAAAGTCAAACGAGTCCACTCAAACTACTCAGAACTAGATCATAACGTCAGATCTTCGGAATTCGGCTCCACTATTGGCATCAGTGCTTAGGTTTTTTTACTCTTGAGCTTGATACAGACTTCATAGCATCGAATGAGTCTTCATAACTCTTAATTATAGGCATGAGCTACAGTATCTTCGTATGAACTGTTAGTTATTGTTTCAGAAAACGGGTTTCAGGTAGAGGTAGCATCTCAACGATACGATCCTCAAGCAGTTGCTCTGTTCTTCTAACTGGAAGCGCAGATCAAGAAGCTCTTGCCACTGACTGAATTCAATCCATTTTGATTGACAGAAATATGCAGCAGAGACTGATCTCGCTCCTCATCGTAAAATATTGAGAAAAAATGGACAAAATCATCTGATTCTTCGGCTGATCTCGAACGATTTTTGACCGGCGTCGACTGGTCAGTCTGGGAAACTCGACCAGGCCAGACAGGTACTGATTCTTCTACAAATGGTGCTAGTAAAATACCAACTGTTACTCTGCTCAGGGTTGTCGCACTATAATTTGATAAAGCACATGGCTTCGATAGTGAGCGACGAAGAAGATGAGAGCAAACGCGATCATGTGATTATGTTCAATTAGTATAAATGATTCAGTGGTTTAACATTGACGTTTACTTGATAATGTTTAAGTTCATACAAATCCAAAGATGACAGTGCTGGTGTATGTCGAGTGCCAACACTGTTTTGTGTTTTTGTTAATACATTATACGTTTCTAATCTTGGTGCCGTACTGCAGCTCTGTCCAACTATACGTGTGATTGGTAGTACTTAAAATCAAAAGTCAGAAGCGTTTTGATACTCTGTTTTTTAAAATCAGAAACCTTAATATTTTACAGGCCTTCTCCATATTCAAAAACAAAAATAGAAAACTATTCAAGAAAAATCTCACTCGACAGATACTGTGAGTTGAAAAACAGCCCTACAAACACTCATTCAACAATCTTCTAAAAAGTAGGTTAAAAATAATTGTATTTTTGATTCCTGCTAGCAGTAGTAAGAAATAAAAAGTGATCGAACCTTGCGCCTTGATTCTACAATAAAATGGCTAAAGAGGAGGTGAAACTGTTATGGAATCATCATACTTCTTGCGACTAGTTGATAAAATACTATATGGCGAGGCAGCTGGAAGAATAAACGAGAGTGGGAAGTTGTGAACTACCGTAAACAGCATACTGTTCTAGTAAAACTGAGATATATGAGATTTCGATCTATTCTAAGATCATCATCAGGTACAAGTAGCACAACAGAGCACACAGGTATTTACAAGTACACAGTTGGATTTTCGAGAACAGTCTAGAACCATCGCGTGACTCTGGAATTTTCAGTGATATTCAAGATGTATCATCTGTTCTTTAAAGTGGTGTTTACAACTTCCCACTCTTATTACGGAATCGATGTAAGTTGAGTCTGTCACTGATTTTGATTGTCACTGATCATCTGTTTTGCTTAGACTACAGGGACGGGACACAGAAGCAAATGGAAAAATTGAACCGAGGTTTATTGGCCGTACGGACAAGTAGTAGCCAAGTCTATGTAAGCTGGCGCTTGTTCGGTACTGATCCATCAACAATTGCATTTGTTTTATACAGAGGTAAAACGAAAATTACACCAACACCTTTAACCGATCGTACTAACTTCGTTGATAACACTAGTACAAACGGTATCTATACAATAAAGGCGGTTTTGGACGGTGTAGAACAAGCGTATTCGGAATCAGCAAGTATCTGGGCGCAACAATACCTCAGTATACCTCTAGAAATCCCGGCACCTGGAACAACGCCCGATGGTGTTTCCTATACATATAATGCCAATGACTGTAGCGTAGGCGATCTAGATGGAGATGGAGAATATGAAATTGTACTGAAATGGGATCCATCAAATTCTCATGATAATGCACATGCTGGATATACGGGTAATGTTTATTTGGATGCCTACAAATTAAATGGTACACGTTTATGGAGAATTGATCTCGGAAAAAACATCCGTGCTGGTGCACATTATACTCAGTTTATAGTCTACGATCTAGATGGAGACGGAGCAGCTGAAGTTGCGTGTAAAACTGCCGATGGAACCAAAGATAGCACAAATGTTGTAATTGGCGATCCAAATGCAGACTATCGGAACTCAAAAGGTTATATCCTCGCCGGTCCTGAATTTTTAACTATATTTAACGGACGATCGGGTAAAGCAATGGCCTCAGCTGATTTTGTACCTGCTCGTGGTAACGTTGCTTCATGGGGTGACAATTATGGAAACCGTGTTGACCGCTTCATTGCAGCTGTTGCTTATGTAGATGGTAAAAAACCAAGTTTAATTATGGGAAGAGGATATTATACTCGACTGGTACGAGCAGCTTGGGATTGGAGAAATGGGAAACTCACTCGTCGTTGGACATTTGATAGTTCATCATCAACAGCAGGAAACAGCAAATATGCTGGTCAAGGAAATCATCAAATGTCAATTGGAGATGTGGATGGAGATGGAAAAGATGAAATTTGCAATGGCGCAAGTGCTATAGATGATAATGGCACGGGATTATATGCAAATGGTAAGGGACATGGTGATGCCCTCCATATGACGGATATAGATCCCGATAGACTAGGACAGGAAGTCTGGCAGTGCTACGAGGATGTAAAATCCTATGGAAAGACTGGATTAGCCTTACATGATGCTAAAACTGGCGAGATTCTATGGGGTGTTCCTGCAGGTGGGGACGTAGGCAGAGCTATGGCCGCCGATATAGATCCGCGTCACAAGGGTCTGGAAGTGTGGGGAGCAGTTGGCGGTTTATATAACTGTAAAGGTATTGAAATTGCAGCGAATAGACCATCTATGAATTTTGGTATATGGTGGGACGGTGATCTGTCACGAGAGCTTTTAGACGGAACAAAGTTGGATAAATGGGATTATGTTAGAAATTCATCAACTCGATTATTTACTTTCTATCAGCACGCAGGTGCTACTGACAGTAACGGAAGCAAAGCAAACCCAGGATTGGTAGCAGATTTGCTCGGTGATTGGCGTGAAGAAGTTATCTATAGAAGTTACGACAACACCAGACTACTGTTATTCACTACAGTAATCCCCACCAGCACCCGTATTTACACACTGATGCACGATCCGCAATATCGAGTTGCCGTAGCCTGGCAAAATTCTGCTTATAACCAACCCCCTCATCCGGAATTTTATCTTGGAACGGGCATGTCAGAACCACCTCAACCAAACATAATATTGGTTTGAAACTTCTTAACTTCATAAAGCAATAAAATCTAGTAAAGATACTTGGTAGAATAACAAACAAAAACTGTTATTAGACGCGTTTCTGATTGTTATTAGCAGAGATTAGAAAGTGATACGAGAACAAGTGCCTTGATTTAAGACTCCTTGAACCCAACTTATAACTTTAACTTTTTGTGGTTAAATCTTTTTTGTATAAAAAAACGCTTCAACTACTTTTTGTATTATATATATATATATTGCTTGTTTAGAATATTGATCGTGGTGCCATAGAAAACAAAATTGTTGTTTATTGCGACATATTTCGTTTTATTTGAAAATAAAAGTCATCAGGCAGTATTTATATCGCTTTATAATAATTTGTAATACAACCCTCTTAGACAAGGCTTATATTAAACATATTATAAAGCGATGCCCTGAGAACTTTTATTTTAATAAAAGTGAAAACGGTCGGTAATCAATCTTTGGAATCAAACAAACACTCAATTCTCTCTTGCGTGTCATTAGTACTTTTATAGCCAGTCTCTTTCTAGAAGGTTAGGTGTGTTGTAGATATGACCGCCTCCTCTTTTATTTTTTCGAAGTGGTATGCTCAAGAAAAATGCTTCCGTTGTGTCTCGAAACGAACAGGAAGAAGTGACGTATTCTTTTCCACTGGAGAGAGTGTATAAGTGTGTCTTCGCGGGTAATAAGTGTCAAAATTTGACCAACCGTTAAAATGCAGATACTTTCAGATACTTTATTCCCCCTTGATACCGGAGATGAAATACCATTTTTCCTTCTTTTATTTTACCGGTAGCATCCACCAGCACCGGTATGTACACATTGATGTACGATCTACAACATCGAGTTGCCATAGCCTAGTCAAATTCTGCTTATAATCAAGAATGGATATGAAACCGTCGAAAGGACAAATTTCGAACCAAAAAATATCGAAAAGTAAATGCCAAAGCAACTTTGGTCGCAGGAAAAAATGTCCATGTTTTGTGTGAAACTACTTTTCAAACTCACTTTCACACTCCCCACACTCCTACCTCCCCCGACACACTGCCAAAACACACCCAGATGTGTATTGCGAAAAATTCGTAGAAGAGTCGAGATCCTGTTCGCTCAAATGTCGGCATCGCTCAAACGTCGGTTGACGGTAATCGACAATTGATTCGGGATGGTTTACTGTGTTACTTTTTTATAGTTAATTTTAATCATCAATACACCTGTTTTTCTCATCATTATCCATTCTTTCGGCATTTTTTTTCCGTCGATGTTTGTTTTTGACACTCATTCAATAATCTTCTAAAAAATAGGTTAAAAATACATCGAATTGTATTTTTGATTCCTACTAGCAGTGTAATAAATGGACTATTCTTTGAAGAAATAATAATAGCGTCGCATCATTGTATGATGTAAGTTTTCCAGAAGGAAAACTGATTTAGTCCTATGGCGGAGCTGATTCAGCGATAAGTACATTTGAATTATTGTCAATCAGAAAACTGGCGCTGATTGATGATAAATATATTCATATATCTGATATCATTACAGCTGTCAGATTAAAATTTATACCTTTTTCAAATGCTAAGTGGCACAGTAACCATTAATTAATACACACACATTGCCTGTGGCTACAATTCAAAATTCAGTCGTATCAATAGATCTAAATACATATCAAAGTGAAATAAGATTTAGTCTCAGTTAATCATTTGATATTATCCATTTGTCATAATGTGGGTGTTCCACTGGTCAGGATGGTTGGGATAAACATCAAATTAATATAATTGATATTGATCAAGAAGCAATTATAAAAAGAGAACTTCATCTTGGTGTTCAATTAGCCACAGATCTTCTTTTGAAGTGGGATCCAGTATAAGTCGTTCAGTGCTGTTCAAATCTGATTAGATGGAATAAGAGAAGATTGAACAAGATGAAGCAGCATCTTAGCTGTAACGTAGCAAGCATTCATTGGTTTCCATTGCACCGATTCCGTTTGCAAGATCTACTTCAGGTCATAGCATCAAAATGTACTTTCATTTCTTGATCCCATACATCATTCATAGATGAATATACCTGATTTATGAACTGTCAATGTTTTATCTGCATGATAGAGTGTTTATCCCACACTTTGTTTATTCGATCAATTGAGAAGTGCATCACAAACTCAACGTGGATTTTATGTAATAATCCAATCGTTAAATGCTAAACAAACACCGTTCGATTCTAAACCAATACCAGTTCTAATAACAATGACTGAACGTTGTCCAGCATGAGCAATAATATGATGGATAAAGCTACCACATTTGTCGCAGTCAACAGTTAAACGGCTTATCCAAACGTAACGGTGTTACGTTTTGGACCCACTAAAATGAAATTATCTCGGAAACTAAAATAGTTAAAAGGTCATTTAAACGCCATTCGATGCAGCTCGTCCACCCTCATTTACGCTATAAAAACGAAATCTTTTGCATGAAGTCTCGAATATTGAGAACGGTCTTTGTAGGCCGTAACGGCGTTACGAAAAAAGACCCTTTTTTTCGAGCGCCGTCAACAAAACATGAATTCCGACAAAGGTAAAGGTCATAATGAAAAGTTTTTAGCACAGAAATTGTAGAGCACCGAACGGGCTATCCGATGGTAAAAAAAAGAATTTTTTCAACAGCTTCAGTTAAGTCGAAAACATCAAAACATAAACGTAACGGCGTTACGCACTATTTTGGTCGAGTGTTTTCGAGGGACTTAACATGATCAGAAGATTTTGATATTATACAGATAATTATTCGCGTTACAGTCAGCCGATATACGCAAGAATAAAGTCGCTACATAGCGTTGAAGGGTCAAAAACTGTAAATTAAGTCGGAAAATGTACAAATATGTACAAATTTTCTAAAGCGCTGAAGCTCAAAACCAAATACGCCATTTGTAGAGAATTAAATTTTCTACGAAACCATACGTTTAGAAATTTATTTTTCGAAAACTATCTCGGCTAAAAATAGAAAATTCGATTTTTGAAATGTTCAAAAATCGGTTTTGAGACTCAAAAACCAATTTTTATCAAAAAAGCGTTTTAAACGGGTTCTTAGAATTAAAAATTACATCTAGTGATGTGTTCAAAATTTTCGAAAACGAAAATTTGTTTTTTATAAACTTGATCAGCGAAGTGTCGCGTTACGTGGACAAGCCGTAAAACCAAAATGAACATTGGTTTATGATTATTGTTGTGTCGATTATTATCATGTCATTCTTGACAGCAGTATTGTTTCCGATAATTTTCATGGGAAATGTTTTGAGCTTCAGAATATTTTTTGTAATAGAGTCACAACGATAAATTTCTCCACTCCTCACACTGTAACTCTTTTCACTAATACGTTTCTGTAATCTAACAAATATCTATCGTTTCTATTTGCATGGAGCGAAAGTCTGTTTTTAAGACAGCCCTTTTATTCCAATGCAGAAAGAATACAGTTTCATAATATCGCTGCTATACGAGAAGAAACTAACTCAGCTGCGAGAGCCTTTTTGAAAGGAAGATGTAGACCTTCACGATGCGTGCCACCGACATCATTTTCTACTCTTAGGATGTCGTCTCTGCTCATTTTTCTTTCAGAAAGTCATATACAAAATATTAACTCTGCAGTTACATCCTTGCCTCACCAAAGTTAAGTGCTATCCTTAGATTTTTTCTTTCTCGAAATAGTGCTGTTCCTTTTGTATTAGCCGAAGAACTGAAATTTACAGCGATTAGAGTCTATCCGATGACTTGTTGCCGCCAAAATTTTACTTTTATATTATATTTGACTGCGGAGAATGTTAAACTTTGATGTTCTTATGTCGATCTACGTGAATGGTGCACTCTACGTAACATTTATGAGGTAGGTATTCAAGGGACGTTTGATACAATCTGTTCTCTTTTCTCTTATACGGAGAGTATGGTGAAAAAGAAAGCAAATTTCTGTTTGTTTTAATACTCTTAGTAAGTGTGTCAACACACTCTATCATGAAGTTTACTCTTGTAGTGCGAATGAATAGTTACCTTGCGGTTAATTATATTCCCATGAAGAAAAATACCGTGTACAAAATCAGATCTACTTCTATACTTCTCCCAACATTAACTTTACAGTAGTACTTGATAAGATTTTCTAGCGGGGCCTTACAAGGAGGTGTCTTCAAGTCTCCTCTTTCAACGAGGAAACTATAAACCTCTAGCACCTTTCGACTAACGAAGATGAAAAAATTATTTGTTCTGAAATGCTTAACAGATTCTCTGGACAGCAACATGTGGCATCAGGTTGATACAACCAGCAGAATAAGATACGGTTCCTGGAAGCCACACGGCTCGTAAATGATTGAATGGTTTAACTGTTCGCTAAGAAGCGGTGGAGAAAATAGATTAGGCAAAGCGATTTGGTCGTCTAACTGAGTGAATGTAATCAAATGTGAGTACTCACGAGGGAACATATGTAAGTGTCCCCTCGCTTTTTCAACGAAATCTAGTGGGTTATAGGTTATCGATGATGCTGATTCCGAATATGAATATGAGAGCTGCCCTTAGGGCTTCGAAGACCTGTTTTTCTGGAAAACCACTTTTCAGAAACTCTGAAAAACACCCAAAGCTTTTCTTAATAAGCCATGCATGTAGCCCCCACATTTCTGATTAAAATGAGACTTCTCCCAGCTCTACAGACCTTTCTTTGCAAAGTTATAGAATTTACACGTAGAGCTCTAAATTAATTTCTTCTTATTTCTGTAGCTTTGAGTTGACAATGAATATTTAGGGCTTTTCTTGTAAATTCTATAACTTTGTAAAGAAAGATCATGTAGAGCTGGGAGAAGTCTCCTTTTCATTAGAAATGTGCGGGCTACAAGCATGGCTTATTAAGAAAAGCTCTGGGTGCTTTACAGAGTTTCTGAAAAACTGGTTTTCCAGAAAAACAGATCTTCGAAGCTATATTTCTATATTCTTCTATCTATATTTCTCTATTTAATCATGTGCACAAAACCCAAAAACTATGGTAACAAACAGAAGAAAAAGCCAAATGAAAACAACGTCTTTTCAAAACTTAGACATAAAAGGAGACCGTTACGATAATTTATTAGGTTGTGCAAGAACTTATTTTAAATTTAATCAATTTATAAACTTAACAACACTAACATTGATTTGCTGTGGTGATAGACGTGAATTTGTTTCTATATTAACAAATCTATCTCTTTGTCTATTTAATTTAACTAATATACCCGAGCACAATGTAAAGAAGAACATGAACATGAGAACAGTTCGACAGGTTCTTGGTTTTCAAGCTAATTAGACAAGCATTTTAAAGTCAGCTTATAAGAACCTTCCCTGTCGACTTTAAAGATTGCAATACAGCTTGGAATTTTCCAACCAATATATATCTAATATATTAAAGCAAACTACAACAAAAAAGTGAGCCGTTTCTTTTTAGAAGTGAGACACAAAATGAATCGACAAATAAATCGTCTTGAAGAACTTCCATCAGAAATTATCATTCAAATATTTCAAAATATGTCATTCGCTTACGATTTGTATTCATCATTTTTTAACTTGAATTCACGATTTAATTCGTTGCTTAATTATTTTGGCTGGAAAATTGATTTAACTGATCCGAATTTAAAACAAACACGATATACTTATTTATGTCTTCAAGTAATTCCTACAATAACTCCTGCAAATGTAACTTGTTTAAAAATTAGTACCGATAATTTATTAGGTTGTGCAAGGACTTATTTTAAATTTAATCAATTTATAAACTTAACAACATTAACATTGATTTGTTGTGGTGATAGACGTGAATTTTTGTCTGTACCATTCCTTATTTTCAGCAATTAAAATCACTATGTATCATACCACATCCATCTGTTCACTATCATTATGATACTACTTTTGAATATGGAAAATTGATTGAAATAATGCCGACGATTGAACGATTTGATATACAAGGTAAGGAGCCTATTATTGAACGCTAACATTGCGCCAAGTACTTCTGAGCAAAAAAATAAACTTAACCCCAAGTAACAATGAGCGTCGAGGCTAATGTTTTGTTGTCCCTCTCTCATCTGTCAATGTTTAGGTCTTGAAAGTATAAGGCTGCGATTAAATCAAGCATGTCCTCATCTTAAACAGTTACTAATGAAAAAGTGTTCGCTTAATACACTCGCTAACCTGTTACCGTACATATTGAATATTCACTTGTTGGACGTCAGTATAACAGACAATTATTATTGTGTGCAACGATGGAACAAGAAGATACTGCTACAAAATTTAAGATGTTTGAAAATACGATTTGACAGTTTAATGACCATTTATCAATTTGAAAATTTTCTGTCACATTTTCCAAATTTAGTACATTTAAACATTTCAATAGAAACGCATAATGCATCAAGGTGGTACAAAGAACTCAATTTAGAATCAATCAAATCAAAATTGACAAAATTAGTAACAGTAAAATTGCAAGGAAAAATATTGACATACCAAACCGAGTAATATCCCAGAAAATACTTTCTCCCACAACGTACTCTTATGTTCGCAAGCTATTTCCCATTGACTAACCTTCAATATATATAATCGTCAAGAATAAACGATACTTTGATAAACTACTGCTGCTGAAAAATCTCAAAATCAAACAGGTTTCTAATATGTAACGAAGTTTGTCCGAACAAAATCTCAGATGTTGGTTTCTCATCTAGCTAATTTTAATCAGTCGGCACTTTCAATATCGCTGACTTTTTCATCGTTCACAACGGTTTGAACAGTTGCTCAATCAATTCCTAACCAAACCTGTTAATTCAAGCTTTATTTCTAAAAAGAAGAAAAACAAAAGAATTTTCATCAAATAAATATAGAACAACAAAAAGAAAGAGCAATAGACCCATGACATCATTTTGACTGTTCAACAAGCGAAAATTGCTAGTATAAATAGTAAGTACGAGAGACACACCTAACGCTTGTAGGCAGAGAATAGCATAAAAGTACATTCAAACGGGTTCGCAATAAAGACAAAACAACAAAAACTTACTGATCTCATACATCAGCAAAATACTATGAGTGAATAAATGATTGTGGTTGCTATATGCAAATAAAAGAAACGCGGAGATAAAAAATAATTTTTTTCTTTGATGAGTAAACATTCGAAAAACATTAAAATAACTTTAACAGCAGCAACGAATTCTATGTTTGACTTCATTTAAAATAAAATAAAAATAATAAACGTTTTATTATCGTCTTTCGAGCGATAAGAGCTCATTTTCAAGATGAATAGGGATAAAACTGAACCGTTGAAAGTGAGCAAAGTATTTTGACTGAGAGAGAAAAAAGATGTTATTAAGTCATAATCTAGTTAATTGGACGAAGAGAATTTGTGCAAATGTAGTCGAATAACAGGATGTACAACATGCATCAAGGATATTATGCGGCTCGTCTACTCTCTAAAAAAGAAAGATACTCTACCGAACCTAAAAAAGGTTAAAAATTTTGTCACCACCTATATACCTTTTTAAGGTTTCGTACAAACTACATACCGTTTTACTTAGCTAAATCCGTGACTGGGAAAAGCTTGGGAACACTGAGAAAACACTTTTTTTTGTGTTTTTACACAAATTTTTTCCAGCGGCGGATTTCGGGTGCTGTACGAAAAGTCAAAAAGGTATATACATAGTGACAAAAGTTTAAACCCTTTTTAAGTTCGGTAGCGTACGTTTTTCTTTTAGAGAGTACACACCACATTCTGTACACCATTTCAAATGTACAAAAAGGATGGGTGCATTATTCTTAACATACTAAAAGGTATAAGTATATAGTGAATATCTCTAGTGTAAACGCAGTGATTTATCTAGTGTGTAGGCCGGATGGGCGCCGCCCACCCGAAATTTTGATCGCCTACCCGAAAATTATACAGTTGATTTCGTAAAAAAAGATGTTTCTCTCTTACTGTCGACAGCAAGAAATGAAGTGCAACATATATGAAAGAATTCATTTTGTCTGTTTCAAGTAGTGGTGAAGGATGTGCAATTCTCGATTTGATAATATTTCAGTTGTGTGTATCAATCGTATGAGTTTTTTCTGTTTATCACATTTTTATGAAAATTAATCTATTATCCTATTTATAATTTACTAATTATGACAATTATTCATATTTCAACGAAATAAGTATGATAGAATTTAGTTTAAAAACTTTTTCGATAAAAAAAGAGAATTCACCTGGTTATTGTTATTCGAGTATTTGAAAATTCTTTCAGAAATTATAAACATTTTCTCAATCTCAATAAATGTCATAAGTATAATAAACTGGGCTCATCAATTGTATGAGCATTTTTCATTGTACATTTGAGTTAATCTTCAATACTCTCTCTTCTTTTATTTTTATTGTTACGTTTCAACGTCAAAGACGTCTTCGTCAGAGAGAGGTAGAATAAGGTTATATATATATATATATATCTCTGATAGTGCTGGCGAGGATCAAGACCGAAACAAAGTGCTAAAGAGACAACGACTAATTATCGCTTTCCAATATTAGATTTAACATCGAAATCGATAAAAACAATAATATACAAAAGACAACAGAAATTCGACAGTGTTTTTCTTATGACGATACCGGACGGAGATGATACTGCTGACGAAGAAGAAAGCGATAATTAGTCGTTGTCTCTTTAGCACTTTGTCTCCGTCTTCTTCTTCGTCAGCACTATCACATATATATGTATAATCTGATTAATTACATTTTTGTCATTTTATTCTACCTCTGTCTGACGAAGATATCTTTGACGTTGAAACGTAACAATAAAAATAAAACAAGGATTATTGAAGATTAAGTAAAAAAAATTCAAAATTCTTTTAAAC